AAGCCGGGGTTGAGGTGGGGGGAATGGGGAGGAGGGTGTCAATGGGGTAAAAAGGAGAAACATTTGTAACAAAAATAAAATAAAATAAAAATAGCAAAATAAATAAAAAATAAGCAGCAAGTAAAAGTTGAATTAATACTCTCTGCTTGGCCTCAGGCTATAGTGATATAGGAGGTTTTTTAAAAAATTTATTTTTGTTACAGATGTTTCTCCTTTTTCCCCTGTAGACACCCTCCTTTCTATCCCGCCCCCCACCAAGCACAGTTGTCTATGTCCACTGGTAATGCATACATGCATATAAGTTCTTTTTTAAAAAATCCTCACCCAAAGATATGTTTCCATTTATCTTCAGAGAGAGAGAGAGAGAGAGAGAGAGAGACATTGATGTGAGAGAGACACATTAATTGAATGCCTCCTGCAGAACCCCGACCAGAATCGAACCAGCAACTCTTTGATTCACAGGTTGATGCTCTAACCACTGAGCCAAAACAGCCAGGGCTGATGTAGGAGGTTTTCATGTAAATAAGTTTGGGTCCTTTTGGTATAAAACAAACTGCCATGGACCATATAGTGCCCTCCTGAAAAAAGCCACCCCTGAGTTTATTAATTTGTTAATCTGTGGATACCACTTGCCTTGGTTATCTTACAGAAAACCTTACCAGGAAATAAACATTTTCTCCAAAGATATGAAAGTATCATTCACCTATTTAATCAGTTTCTCTAATCACTCCTTGTTCTTGAATTGCAATTCAGCAAAAGAGCAAAGTGCTATGAACAAAGTAGTGGTCTACAGATTTACCAGGTGAAATTTTAGGGAAAGATAACCCACATTAACATCTTTGCAGGAGGAAAACTAGAAAAGTTCCAGGTGGTCAGCCCAATACCCATCTAGCTGAGGGGCCTGGAACAGGTCACGTGACTCATCAAATAGCTCCTGGGTCTCCTCAACTGTCAACAGGAGATAGAGCGGGGCGGGGACTAGAGTGAGTCTACTAAGGCAATCACCTTGTCCACAAAACTTAATGGTTGCCAAAAGACTTGGTAATCAAGATAAGTAATATTTTAACACAATATGTTACAAATCAACACTATTGCAAAAACTCTCAAGAATTTAAATAAAGACAGGATCAAGATTAGCGATTGTCCTTTGTTTCAGGCTCCCATATGGCTCCACATGGTACTGGAAAGAAAGCTTGGCCGACCTTGTGAAATTTTGTTGAATGAATAGAAGTTTGAAATGGATGTGTGGTCAAATATCTTTTTTTTTTTTCCAATTTAGGAAATTAGCTCCATAGTTACTTAATTTATTTGTGTAGTCACTTATTTCTCAGTTGTTTTCCTTTGTGGGTCACTGTTTTTTTTTTTTATTAATTTATTTTTATTACAGATATTTCTCCTTTCTCCCCTATTAACACCCTCCTTCTGATCCCCCCACCCCGTCCCCAGCATTGTTGTTTATGTCCATTGGTTATGCATACATGCATATAAGTTCTGTGGTTTATCTCTTCCCTCCCCCTGCTACCCTCTCTTTTGAGGTTTGTCAGTCTGTACCCTACTTCTATGCCTCTGGGTCTATTTTGTTCATCAGTTTGATTAATTCATTATATTCCCCAAATAAGTGAGATCATGTGATATTTGTCTTTCTCTGCTTGGCTTGTTTCGCTTAGCATAATACTCTCCAGGTCCCTCCATGTCGTCTCAAAGGATAAGAGATCCTTCTTTCTTACAGCTGCATAGTATTCCATTATGTACTGTACTACAGCTTTTTTATCCACTCTTCTATTGATGGGCTATTGGCTGTTTCCAGATCTTAGTGATTGTAAATAGTGCTACTATGAACATAGAGGTACATATATTCTTTCTGATTGGTGTTTCATAGCCAAGTATTTTTGTAGAGAAAGAGTGCCAACTGGTTTTGTGGTGTAAGCCCCAAGCCATTCAACAAGGACTAGCTTCATCTCTACAAATACATTCGTATTATTTATTTAAGTCACCAGTGGTGGCAGAATGTGACATCTGATTGTCCAGTTCTAACGAATTCATGAAGCTTCTTAAAACAGAGATGAGTTCCAACAAAGCCCCCGGGAATTGAAATAATGTGTTTCAAATACCAGGAAAGCTGCCAGAAAGCATAACCTCCACCCATTGGTACCGATTCAAGATAACTTGGAGTTTACGTTTTAGGAAAGACTTGGGCAGTTTTTAATCTTTAGATATTCTAGTGCCACTTACTTAACAAAAGAATCAACAGAAAAGACTCTTCTCAAGTCATAGCTGCAGCCCTAATTTGAGGCAAATTTGACATTAATTATGAGACATTACTCGCTTATCTGCTCCTCATTATTGTGAATGAGGTTCTTGGCATGAAAAGAAATTCTGTTTCAAATTTTGTTGAATGAATAGAAGTTTGAATACGTGCACAAGCTGAATTGATGTTATTTTAAATGGGTTGTTTATGTTGACTGGAAAACAGTATTATGAAAATTCAGAGGTTGATACTGAATGTGCTGACATTGACATCTTATTATAAACAGAATTTCTTGAGCTTTCTATTTGGGGAAAAACGTAGCATATTTACAACTGGGGGTTTTCCCACAAAATTCAAAAAAGAAACACTGTGGTGTACAATGTCATTTTGACTAAAACCTCAGAGTATGCTTCAAAATAACAGCATGCTTTTTTTGATTGTGGGTTTCTCCGTTAAATAGAAGAGATGACAAGAGCCTAAGCACTTGTTATTGGCTATGACCTGTTGGAATATATTTGTTCAATAGTTTGGAAATGACTGTTTTAATGTTTGGCTCCTTAACATGAACATATCCTCATCTTTTGATATAAGATATTTTTCAACAGAGCTTATGCAGTGAAACAGAACACATCTCTTCTTTGAAACTAGCCTAAAACCCATTTTGTGTGTTTCTGTGTGTGTGTGTGTGTGTGTGTGTGTGTGTGTGTGTATACTATGCAAACTAGACCAGAACTCTTCATGTTGCCCAATAAACTGACACAGTGATAGAAATGCTTTCAATGGAAAGGGTTCTGATTCCAAAATTACTAGTGTTTGTGAAGAAAACTATTTATCTACTTGTCCAGTGGTAGTAATAACTTATTCTGGGAGGGTAAAAAATTGCTGATTTGTCATTTTTCCTTATTGTTCCTTCTGATGAGTTGAAAACATTGCACGAAGGTAGATAACATGCAATTCTTAATTGTGGGTCTTCAGAAGAATGGAATGAAAGGCACATCGCATGACGCTCATGTATGGATTATCGCAAATCACTCCTAAAGCAGGTTAGTATGTTGCTGGGTTAGTACATTAATGTTATTCTCCCCTCTCTGCATCCCTCCCCAACTTTATTTTCATTCACTCCTTTTTCTTTTCTTCCCTTCAGTTTCAATTCCAAGAATCATGCTTTTTTGAGACTATGATAAGACATTGCCAACTTTTCGCACAGCACTACTGCTTGACAGATACAGTGCATTTTGCTTTATTTATATTTGAAAGTCTTAAGATTAAAGGTTGGTTCTTAGAATCTATGATTGTGCTACATCTCTTGCAGTTTACTGACCCTAAATAATGATTTACTCTCGCATTTTTTTTTTAAATCCTCACCCGAGGACATTTTTCCATTTTTTGTTCAGGTAGAGTGGGAGGGAGAGAGAGGAACAGAGAGAGAGAGAAACATCGATGTGAAAGGAACACATCGAGTGGCTGCCACCCGCACAACCGACCAGGGCTGGGGACAAACTGCAACCGAGGTACGCGCCCCTAGCGGGAACCGAACCCGGGTATCTCAGGACCGCAGGCCGACGCTCTAACCGCTGAGCCAAACCGGCCAGGGCTACTCTAGAATTTTTTATAAAAAAATATAGTTGCTCTTATCAGTAACTTGGCCAGCATATCTTTTCTCCCCACTAGACCACAGCTGCATTTCATTTGTTCTGGTTCCACATAGCCCTTTAAAATTTGCTGTAGAAATACTTTTATTTCCCCTTGATATTTATGGTCTTTCACTCTTTCTTTCCTTCTAAGGATTAATTTAAGAAACTTACTGTTAAGTTTAAAATTTCTCTTATTTTAAATCAAGTCTGTGTTAACAACTATTCCCTCAACTTCTTCCCTCCCTCCCTCCCTCCCTCCCTCCCTCCCTTAGTTCCTTCATTCCTTCCTTCCTTCCTTCCTTCCTTCCTTCCTTCCTTCCTTCCTTCCTTCCTTCCTTCCTTCCTTCCCTCTGTCTCTCTCTCTCTCTCTAATCTATCTCAGCTTTGTATTTTAAAAGCACCTTGCAAATAGGAATGAATTTGTTTTAGAAGGATTGGTTGAATCTGTCCTGGAGGGGAATATGGATCCAAGAATAAGAAAACCTGTGTATTGACCATGTTTCCTCACTAACTAGAACAGTGACATTGGCCAAACGACATAATCTTGTTTATACCTCAGGACCTCATTGAAAAATGAGGAGGTTGGGCAGATGCTTTTTAATTAATTTAGAGATTACCTGGTCTACTTCTAAGATTTCATGCTTCCAGTTTTTTGTTTTTTTTACATTTTTCTGGAATATGAGAATGAAGGATGGCCATATGCACATAGCAACTGTTACTTTGACTTCTTACTCAAGCAAATAAATAAATAATAATCTTTATTTTAACCTTTAGTTCCTTCATATAGTAGTAAATACCCTGGAGTTTGCTGGAGACAATACTGTTAAAAAAGGAAGAATCAGCATTTATATCTCTGTAAATGTGAATAATTCAAGCTTTTCTACAACAAGCCATTTTAAGCATCTGCTGACCCGTTAGATAATAGCAAAAGGGTGAAAGGCCAAGGCATGGAAAACCCACCCACCCACCCATCAAGCAAGAATTCCCGGATGTCAGCAGCCAGCACAGGGATCCTATAGCGGGGCTTCTTTACAAAGGTCACCCCAGGCGTCCTGAGGCGCACAGACGCCTGAGGCAAACACGGATGCTGTGGGCAGTGCGGTGTTAAAGTCCCATACCTTGCAGCCTTCACACGTGATGACTCCGTAGTGAATCCCGGAGGACTTATCGCCACAAATTTTGCATGGTATCACTTCAATTTGTGCTGAAAAGGGAAAACAGACATTTTGAGCTCACAGAGTTATCGTCTTAGGTTCACACCCCTCCCTCCCTCTCCGCTGCTCTCTGCCAGGACCTGAGTGTTTAAAGACACTGGGGTGGGGGTGGGGGTGTGGGGTGGGGCCATCCACTACTATCTGAATGGCCTCCCTGAGCTGCTTCTAATTGAAAGGGGATCTATCTTGTTTGCTTTCTTTTTCTCAAACTAAATATATACCCAGAGACCAGAAGTTTGGTAAACTCTTGCCTTCACCATTTTCTCCTTTGTAAACTTGACCTTGAAATAATGTGAGTCAGTCCTGGCTGGTTTGGCTCAGGGGTTAGAGTGTCAGCCCTCGGACCAGAGAGTCCCGGGTTCATTCTGGCCAAGGGCAGATACCTCGGTTGTGGTTTGATTCCAGCCCTGGCTGGGGTCATGCCAGAGGCAACGGGTTGGTGTTTCTCTCTCACATCCATGTTTCTCTCTCTCTCTCTCTCCCCTCCCTCCCACTCTATTTGAAGATAAATAGAAAAATATCCTTTGGTGAGGAACAAAAAAAAAGAAATAAGGTGAGTCAAAAAATCCCTGGGACCCGAAGTTTTGGTTTTCTTATTTTGCACTTCAAATGTTATTTCAATAATTTAAAAAATAGGTAAATAAAGCAAAATTGGAGGGGGTGGTGGAGACTTTATACATTATTTAGCTGAGTGTTTACTTGTGAAAATAATGGTGATAAATCAGTCAAATATTTATTGAGCATACTCTATATGTGCAGTAAAATAATAAATGTTGTTGACATAAGATACAATATATTAATGGTATCAGCCATAGAAACATTGATAAAAACGTCAGAAGAGACAAAGTCAACTAAAATACTTATTACACTATTTCTATTTGCTTCTATTCTTTTAGCTTTCAGATTACATGAACTGGTATTTGTTTTCAAAATTTTGTGATTTTGAAAAAATGAGAAATTTGATGTCATTCTATTCTGTTCTGTTCTTGATTCCAGTCCTTAATCTGTTAATGATTAGGGCCATGGCAAAGGTAAAAATTCCTGATCTTATTTTCTGTTTTATAAAGCTTAGCTGACAAACTTCATAGATCTGTGAGGATTAAATGAGATATTTTATGTAGTGCTTTGCAAATAGCAGTTACAAAATGTCAGTCTTCACCTTCATCATCAACATCATTGTTAACTGGTATTTCTAATGCTTTTGGACGAGGAATATGATAAGCCATATTATTATTCCTCTATTAAAAATCTTATTTTAAAAATACCAAATGAATAAAACTATGTTATTTGCATGATTTTTTTAAAGTGATAACCTTTTAAACAGTAAATTCTTTACAATGATTACAAAACTGACTAAAAATCCCAGGTATCCATTGTACAGTCGTTAGGCTTATACAATATTAAGTCAGAGGGTTCTTTGCATTAATTACTCCCCAGGGAGTAACTTATACGTGGGGAGAATCTGCTTCAACAAGTTCTTAATTATAAAATGATCTAACTCTAAAGGAAATGAAAATAGAGGTAATTTGCCCCCTGGGATGCGAGAAGATGTTTTTGAAAGCCACAAAGGTTATCTCACACAACTTCGGAAATACAAATGGAATAAGAAACGATTTGATAAAGCATCTGCATATTTATACATATTTATAATCCTAGCTCAACATGTAATCCTGAAGAACCATAAACATTTATGACAGCATTTTTAAAGAGAAAGAAGCCACTTAAAAGGGCATTATGTGTGTTGATGTGTGTGGAAAGGGATTATCGGTTTGGAAAACCTATGGCCATTTTTACTTATGGCAGAAGAGATCATCAGAGGTTTATTACAGATTAAGACACATTTAAATAATTGAAAGTACTAATTCTTTTCTCTCATTTAAACTGCCTCTGAGCTACAACTTCATAATTCATACTGTGTATTTTATAGAGCACATCTTCAAGACAGTATTTTAGACATGATTGGAACAACAGGTCATGTGACTGCCCCGATATCTGCCTCTTGCCCCTGCACCAGCCATAGTCTCCGGTGCAAGTGGGTTGCAGCACATGCAGATCTGGTGACATGCTATCTAGCATAGTTTCAAACTGAACATCTAGGGAGGACTTGGTGGCTTGGACCTCACCACCTGTTACAATGATGGTGTACAGATAACGAAACTGAGGGGAGAGTTCAACTTGCAAACTTTGGCTGGACTCATGGATCAATTCAAAAATAGCATTCCCTGACAGACCAACACAGAGGAACAGAAATGCTCTGAGAGATGGCTTGAGATAGGCTCCTTTCTCAGTTTTTTTTTATTGCTTTTATCTTCCTCTCACTTATATTTTTCTGTTGGTAATTCTTTGTGGAGACTCCAGTTAAAATTTTATCTAACAATTAATTTTTTTGTTTATAAAAGCGATCAGAAATGTTTTTTTTTTTTTTTGGTAATGATATTTTTACATTGTCAAAGAAAGTCATGAAAGATTTAAAATTAGTTCATGTTTTACCTTCTACTAGAACAATTTTTGAAGTACAATTAATTTAATACCCCATGATTGGCAGGCAGGTCTTATTTAACAGTTACAGAGTAGTCAACATTTGTTGCTTGCTTGAAGATGGCAGCTCTCGCCCCCAGTACCTCCTGAAGGGTTGTCCCCTTCCCATCCTTCCCATCGCACAAAGCCACCAGGTGTTGAGTTCTTTCTGCTTATCAAAATGTACATGTCTTTTGTTCTGCTCCCTTAGAACCGACCCCCTGCTTGTGAAGGCAGACATTAAGTTAGATGAACTAATCTAGGCTAATGAGTTAACTAGAAAATGTATTGCTTTGATCCATCAAAATACCTTAATTTCTAAAAGCAACCATCAGGAATGGAAGTGATAATGGCTGTTCAGGTACCTACTGGTTGGAGAAAACATTTTTACTGTGTGTGCTCTTGTGACTCTCGGTTCCTACCATTTCCTCGCTTACAAACCCAACCTGGCCATTTTTATATTCTGGGCATGCTATGCTCATTGAGGACAGGGTCCAGGTCATATTTCTTTTTTATATTTTCCATGAAGTCCAAAAGATAATTTTTTTTTCTTATCCTCACCCGAGGACATTTTTTCCATTTTTTGTTCAGATAGAGTGGGAGGGAGAGAGAGGAAGAGAGAGAGAGAGAGAGAGAGAGAGAGAGAGAGAGAGAGAAAGAGAGAAATATGGATGTGAAGGGACACATCGAGTGGCTGCCACCCGCAGGACCAACCAGGGCCTGGGACAAACTGCAACTGAGGTACGTGCCCTTAGCGGGAACTGAACCTGGGTCTCTCTGGACTGTAGGCCGGTGCTCTAACCACTGAGCCAAACCGGCCAGGGCCAAAAGATAATTTTTATAACTCTTTAAAGCAGTGGTCCTAAAATTGTTTTTCTTTCAGTACAACCAAGAGATTTGACATACTGCCTTTTATAAAAGAAATTTTAAGCAATACTGATTTTCTATCTATAGGTGAGGAGAAAAAAATCAGAATCTTGAGATTGGGGTGGATATATACTTTGGTATAGGCCCCCAGGTAATTCTGCTATGATAGGTCCCCATTGAATATTCAGTGAATCAAGTTATTAAGTAGGAATTCTCTGTATCATGTAAACCATCTGTAAAGAAATAAAACCTGGGACAAGGCTGGAATCTGAAAAAACTAAGAAGTGACCAGTAATTTTCCGTTTCCTGACCTTTGTTTTGGGGTTACACCCGTGGCATTTTCTGCCTACCCCCCCCCCTTTTCCTTAAGGAACATAAGAAGCATCTACCCAGTCTACAATAACTCCCATTCCAGGACACTGGATTTGCCTCTTAGTTTCTGTTTCCCAGAATTTCACAGCTATGCTAAAAGTGGACAGTGCAGCAAACACTCTTAATGTCTTACTAAAGCACAATTTACATATATAAAAACTTCCAATGAAGATGACTATTTTGGTTACAAATCCTTTTGCAGATGGTCTCAGTAGCGCAAGTTGCATCTCTTCTACCCAAATAGCATCCTGTCTATCATTTGTGGCAAATCCAAGTTAAAGTCCCTGTCTGTACTCTTTCCTTCTCTTACTGTCAGACTGATAAGTGTCTACCTCTGTTAGGTATAAAACTTTCTGATGTCACATGACAACAAGCCCAAAGGATGAAGTTAGCATTTCTAAGATCTGATTCCACTGTAACTTTGATTCATCAGAAAATAATCCCAAGACTGGGGTAGGGTGGAAGTCTGGAAAAATGAGACCCTCGGGAAAAAAGTAAGTCTTTGAGCTTTTGCCCTTATATCATGCTATATGGTGATTGTAAAAGATTCCTGATGTTGGATCAGGTTTGTGTTCACGTGTGTCTCATCAGGCACACATCATGTTAATCCCAGCTTTCTGCTTAAATACCAAACATAGACACAAAATTTAGTGCACCCTAATTCCTACTAGAATGCCTTTGCATCTATCAGCATTTGGAGTCTTTCTTTCTTCTCACACTCTTCTCTATCATATTCTGGGTGGAGGTCTTTGTGCGCTCTCTGTTCAGTTCAGTTGATAGCTTCTAAATGACCTAACGATAACATTTATTTTTATGAAAATTTCCTAACCTATGTATCATTGAAAACTAGAGTAAGAAAAAAAATTACTAACCTATGATAATAGCAAAAAATGACCTTTTCAAAGGCATGACTTGTGGGATTATCACGAAGAGAGTCGATTTATATTTTCCTTTGGAACATTAACCTCTGAAATTCTTGCCTGCTCTGACTCCCCAGAAGACTGAAATAGCAGAGAATGTAACCCACAAAGAACAATGACAGTGATTAGGATTAGTATTAGTGGCAATTACTGATAATAAGTTAAATATCTCCTTTGGAAACACAGCAAATCACTTTTATAAGTCATAATGGGTTTAAACTCATCATTTATGAATTAATTCCCATTAAATACCTCTTGTCCTGTCAAAGTTTTAATTATAATGTGGTAATGTGTGTGTGAGATCTACCATCATT